ACAGACCTTTTAGCTTCTTTAATTCCTTTAGTCACCTCTTGAAAGTCTCTGGTACGTATGGAAATCTGCAGAAAAGTGAAGAAAAGAAAGACAGGGTTATTAAAAAAAGAGCACCTAAAAAATCTAATAGCAATGATCAGCACATGAACAATATAGAAAACATTAATAGTAATATTAATAACGAAAATGTAGCTGTACAAGAGCATTGCTTATTTGATCATATTTCGAATTCACGTGTACCAGACATCCTGGACAAAGGGTTACAGAGTGAAATTTCCTTAAATAGAAATTTTCTGGAGGATTATGCAGTGACGTGTGACCATTCAAGGCAAAATGAAACAACAGTAAACGTTAAAGACAGCAAGAGTGACAGCCTACAGAAAGTTTCAAGTTCATATAGAGAGGTGCCTCCAACACTTTCCTATCTTGATGTAGACAACAGTCAAAATGTGAAAGACAGGGAGTTTTACAGTATTTGTGTTGTAGATGCCGAAGATCTGACAGGGGACAAAGAGGTGCCAGCTACTGTGCATGAAGAGACTGGAGCAGACATAGATAACTCAGCTGTTACTGATGAAGGAATGTGCAGCATGGCACGACCTCTAGACACTGGGAAGGAATTTCCAGTGCAGCGATGGGCACAAGTGGAAGCTAAGTTTAATTCACAGGAAGAACTGTTTGAGTATAAAAAAGAGGATAGGCCAAACATGCAGAAAAAGGACACAAACAAATATTGTAGCATAGACATCCAATCTTTTGATAACTTACTGACTGACAGGTGTCAGGTGCCTAAGTTAAATACTGACAATACAGTAACAGATGTCTTAAGAGCAAAAGTATCTGATGAAATCATCCCTGAGAATCAGCAAGAGGAGGTGTATTCCATAGGTAGTGCTGTCAGTTGGAATGAATCACTCCATACAGCTTGTAATTCTGTGAAGCCTGTGGATGCTGCTGAAAAGGACCACTACAGCCCTAACTCAGAAAAGGTGAAACACAGTGATTGTATTTCCAGTGTCTTGTTAGACACTGGAGTATGTAATTCAGGAAAAACTGAGGGAAGTAATCATTCTGATATTGTACCACTTGGTTTAAGTGGGCGTCCCTCAAGTGTTGTAGAGCAAACAAATACTAAACAGATGGCAGAGAACATGAGGGGTAACTTTAAATTATCACTAGAGTTACGTGAAATGGACAATGTAGAAAAACTTGCTGAAAAAGTCTACTTTCTAGAGCCAGAAAGTGAAGTAAACTCAAATGTGGAAAAGAAAACACTTGAAAGAACTCATGGTGATAGCCAAATGTTTGCACCAGAGTGTAGTGAACATCACAGCAGTTTTGAAGAGTCCTTGAAAGATGGAGAGAAATGCACAGGTACAATTTTGCATAGCTGTGAATCTTTGAATACGACTGAAATGCACAAAAACTTGGAGGAAAGTTCTGATTTTCAAACTCAAATTAAGGGCTGCAGTGAAGTCAAGACATCGGCTGAAGCTGCAGACCATGGTGGCACAGAGGAAGGTGTCTGTGAGCGTGTCACTGGTGACTTGACTGAGGAAGCTGGTAACTTGAGCAGAAGTAGCCCGTGGGTAAGTGCTGGCATTTTGACATCTCATGAACAACATAACCCACGCACAGATGACACGTTCCTAAAGGAAAACAGCCTAGAATGTCAGGTTTCACAAGAGTCACCAGGGAGTAAAGGTAAAGTATGCAAATATTCAAATTCAGATAACAGTGTCTCTTCTGTGCCTGTGGAATGTGAGGATATAAATAAAATAGACATGAACTGTAGACAAGATGAACAGGATGCATATTTCTTCCACGCAGTAGAAAATCAATTGAGTGCAAGGACAGAGTCAGCCAAAATAGCTGGGGATGTAGTAGAATCTGTAAAACAGACAAAATTTGAAGTTCACCTCAATGAGTCGATTGATAACAATGCTGAAAATATAAAACCAAATTTGGATGCTGACATTGTTGATTGTGATAAAGGCATCTTCAATTGCAATGGAGGCTTGGCTCATAGTCAGAACGTTCCCTCTGACTCCACTGAACCTGCAGCCATGGACAGTTGTACGTACAAGAGCATAAAATTAAAAGATGACACTAAAAATCTGGACGATACCAATCATCTCTTACATAAAGCCCATAATTGTTTACCATCATTGTATCAAAATGCATGTACTCATGTGCACGACAAACCAGTGGAAGAGCCTGAGTTACGTCACTGTGCCAGTCCAGAGCCAGAGGTCGGGAACACTGCAGTTCCTGTTGTGTCTTTTACTGAAGAAAGATCAGAAACTCCTGAAAAAAGTATGTGTGATGTAAATGAATGTAATCTTCAGGATAGTGAAGTAAAACAGTGTGTCAGTACCCACTCAAAGCAGAACCTCACTGGTTTTAGTGTATCAACTGGGAATATAGAACCTTTTCCCAGCGGGAATTTGAAGCTGTTAGAAGCCAAGACTACTGAATTGAAAAACACCAGTTACACATTAAATCCTCAAACAAATGACTTGACCACAACCTGGGAACAGATGCTGCCAGATCACAAGATTTTCTCGAACAAAGAGCTTGGAGTTTGTGTTGACCCAAAGCAGGTAGACAAATACGCTGCTACTCCTTCCTATGAAATACAGAGTGCTGCTCCTGTTGCCACAGGATTTCAGCAGGGCAGTGAGCAGTGCGTGTTAGATCTGATGGAAGATGTACCCAGTGGCCAAGAGCAGCACTCCTATGAACTGGACAGACAAAATCCCCATGTTGAAATGTGGCCACATCTCATCAGTCTTCAGACTGGCAATGATGATTGGACAAATCAGCTGTTTTCTGACACGGTTCCTGCTGGTAATGGTGAATATCTGGTGGGCTTTTTATGGAATAATGCAGTTTCTAATGATACCATGAAGAATGACAGACTTTGTATAGTTAGTGAAAACTTCCAGAATGAACCTGAAGATTTAACAAGTGCTTCATACGCAGTGGAAAGATACCCGTATCAGCTGCTAGCACCAGAAAATGCTGGTACTTGGGGATGGCAAAATAAAGACGAATTTGTAAGTATTCTGTAGAAGTGATTTGATGTTAAAGCTTAAAGCTGAAGCTAGAAGTTTGACTAAGCCAAGTCAAACTGTGGTTTCTTTAGTTAAACAGATCATGTTATTTTGTCCTGAAGCTGACTATTCCCTTTCCTTTGCAAAACCAAATGCTGTACAGAATACAGAAGTTCAAAATCTTGCTGAATATTAATATATTTTTTTCTTTTTGTTTCTGTTTGTGTGAAAGTTTAAACGTTGGGCAAAGTGACTTGATTGCAGATTCTCAGTTCCAGATGAACTCGAGATAAACGCTTCAGTGTGGGAGAGGAAGCTTTCTGCAGACTGTTAATAGTGCTCTTTACCTTTGTATAGGAAGAAATGTTTGTGGATTTCCTGAAGTTCTTGTTTGGTAGCAACTAGGAAATATTTGCTCACTTCTGGAGGTGATCTTCTGAAGTACTGGAGAAAGGAGTGGCTCCAGGAGAAGTGAGGGGAATGAGCTGGGCTGGATCTTGGAAAGCTGGGATAGGAAACAAATGAAGCCGTTGGGACAGAGTCCTGAGTAACGAGCTCTGGGGCCCCTGCTTGAGCAGGGAGGTTGGACTGGATGACCTCCAGTGGTCCTCTCCAACCCTACTTACCCTGTGAAAGCCAACCTGCAGCAGCTGCTGCTCCCTTTCCTTCCCTGCTGAGCAGAGCCAGTGCTGGATATTGTTCCCCTCACTGACTTGGAGCAGTTGCTCTGACCTTGCCCAGCAGTCGCTGTGTGGGCAGTGGGTTGAACTTGGGGCTGTTTGCTGTCTCCTGGGGGAACTTTGTATATTAAAAGTGGAAACTGATGGAACTTACTGTCATCTCTGAATAGTTACTATTCAGGTAGTTATGTCAAACACTTCCACTTTTTATAAGTCTTTTCTCTGTTGCTCAATAGGTGTGTTTGAGATTTTTTAGATCTTTTTGCTTTCTGGATATATTTTCTATGCACTGTGATAATAACTATCTGAGTGCATGTGTTAAAGAAGATTTAAAGCTTCATGGAGTTTTGGAGTGCCTGTCTTAAATGCTGCAATGTTCCTAGAATCATAAGTTCACAAAACAAATTTTCAATGAGCTTTTTTAGTGTGTCTTAATATGAACAATCCTCTTTCCCAGTATAATTGTATTAAAACATTCCAAGTATATTCTTTGTATGTAATAATTTAATGCATTTTGCTCAAACATTAGCAACACAAGAGAAAACTTTCTCATGTAACTATCAGAAAAGTATTGTAGATGCTTGCACTGCGGAGAGCAATCTCTCTGAAACACAGATATAATCATTTATGTGATGGTTGTATATAACCATATATAATCATTAAATGTGTGCATTTCCAATCCAGGCTAAAAGAGATTGTCTTGATGTTTTAACTGGATCTGATAATTCATCTCTTCTGTCCTAATGCACTGTTCCTCCTCTTGAAGTAATGACAGAAGTTGTCATGCACATCTGATTGCTTTCAATTTTCCATAATGCTTCATCAAGAATGTTACATGTTTATATAAGTTCAGAAAAAAAAAAAAAACCTTGTACTTTGGTATTTTCTTGATTATTTTTTTCTTAATTGTTATTTTGCAGAAACAGATACAATACCAATATAGTCAACATCAGGTAGACATGTATATTAGAGAACTGCCTGAAGTCTAGGTCAAGTATGGGTTTGAAATGTTTGTTGTTGTTTGCTTTGCTTGGCTAGCCTTTTCTGATGATTCTTAATCAGGGAAATGAATTCCATGCAGCACAATTCAGTTGGTTTTGTACCTGAAATGATTATGGGAATTCAGTTAATATATTCAGATGTGAAAAAACTTGACAGTACCGTCTTGAATTGTATGTCTAATACTGTTATTTGAAACTGTTCATATCTACACACAGATGCATGCTGTGCATCCACAAAGTGCATAATCAATTTCTTTTTGTAGGAGTCAACCAAGGTTTCCGAGTTAAACCCTAATGCAAAGGTGTGGGGAAATCATATGTTACACTTGGAAGCAAGTGGTGCCACTGATGGTAGTGTGAGCAAAACGTGGGAAGAAATACCTGACCAACCTCCAGATTCTTGTAAAGAAGGTATGAATGACATTTTCTAGCTGTTGCTCAAGCAAAAGTTAAAACTCAGTGCAGAATTTTCTCAATTTTAGTTTTCTGTTAAAAAAATTAAAGCAAACGTGTAAGCAACTTTATTTCAGATTTAGTTGTAACTGTGAAGTCACAGTGATTAGAAAGAATGCTTTCTGAGTGTTTGTCATCTGTGCTGCAGGACTGGATGCCAACGGTGATGGCGACAAAAAGCATCAGAATGCAGTGCTGACAGAGCTGCCGGAGCCGTCACCAGCTGTTTCGGTGTCAGACCAGACAGATATGAACCCTTTGGCTCTCGATCATTCTGAGTATGAGTCTATGCATGAAACCACCCAGACAGGTAAGAGAAAGCTAGTATTTGCTTGGGCTTAGTTTTAAATAAAAAAACAAACGTGTATTTTGAGTTGAACAGTGAGCATCTAAAAAACCCCCAAAAGCCCCCCCAAACTACACCACTTTTGTTGCTTAAGATTTGCATGCTGTAAACAGACCCTAGAAAATCCTGTGTCTTCTGCAGTCACACTTAGACATGTTTGGAGACCAGTCTTGTCCTGGTATAAGTCTTATGAGGTGGTGCACAAACGTTCTGGATTTAACTGAGTATTTTCTGGAATGTGGTTCTGAATGAAAATCCCTAGACATTTACATTTAGATATCTACCTCTTTAAGCTGCACGTTTCTCGTTGGGTCAGGTGGTGAGGTGAGGTTCACATAGCGTTTGTGTCTCAAGTAGTAATGTTAATGTGTGGAAAGACCAGTCTTGTACTTGAAATGCTAAAATAGGCAACATTTTAATCTAACTTCTTTGCGTTCTTATTTAATGAACTTTTAGGGGTTTTTTTCAGTGCAACTGGTAGTAGCTGTAGTCTATACCAGATGGTATGTTTTAAGAAGTTTCTGGAAAGTAGTGTAGAGATTCAGTCATGCTTATATTTCACTGAAAGGGACAGAAGGTCTGCAAGATGCATGTGGGATTACTACTTGAAGTGAGGGATGGGAAGGAGAGGAAAATGTGCTGGGTGTTTCTTGAGATTCACGGGAGGTCTGTTCCTTGTTCATTGTGCTTAGCTGATTTTATAACATGTATTTAAAATTACCAGTATAGCATCCATAATAGCTGGAAATCAAGACAAGTAAAATCAGACACGGTCGTGGGATCATCCTTGCTTATGTTAAAAAACTGAAAGCTCTCTTTGACTCTTCTACTTAAGGGTACTATTGGGGAATATTAAGTAATAACTAGATGGCAAGTAGAAAGTTGTATTAAAGGTGCCTCACAGTCTAGAAGGGAACGGTATTCTTCAGATTAGTGTTAAAACTTGTCAGCATGTCCTTTATGTGCCCAAAATAGTTAACTTTTAACAAGAGTCAGATAGTGTTGTAAGCAGCTGAACAGCACACTGGATCTGTTCCACCTGGTGAATAGTGAGTGACACAGGTGGTCCCAAGTCTGAAATCTGATTTTTAATTTAATAATTATTTTTTAAAATGCAGAGAATTTTGTTCCTTGCTGGCTTTTGGACAAGAAAGGGGAGATGGGGAAGGAAAATAGTGGTTAGAACATAAGTGTATTTCTCGGGTGTTGACCTTATCTTGTTCCGAGTAGAACACGTGAAGGACAGCATGGTGGGAAGAAATTAGAACTTGCTTTAGGAAGAAGAATGGTTAAGGAAAGCTGAAGAAAAGGATGAAAGTTACTGAAGGGAAGGGTATAGAGGGCAATACTTTTAAAAAAACCCTAATTTACGTAGGTATATATTAAATAACATGTTACTAGATGTTTTATAAATCTCTAAAAGCCACACTAAACTTCTAATCTTTAAACAGTTCTCCCACTGGCACAAATAGTTTAACCTCTACTGACATTAGTATACTGGGTCTAAATTAAAATGAACATAAAATCCATGTTTTCCATGTGATGATAATTTTGAAACTCCCAAGTATAAGAAAAAAATTAATTTTGCCTTCTTAACCAAAAGATTGTCAATTACACATGTGTTGCTAGTAGATTGTATATCTGTTGATATTTTATAACCTCATTTTTGGAACTCTTTTCTGAGTTAGTGTATCGGTAATTTCGAGTGAGGGCTGAAGTATGGAGTGCCTTCATTACATTGCTCTCTTGCTGCATTAGTCAGGGCTTAGTCAGCTAGAAAGAGGTTAGTTTTCTGAGAATGGAGGACAGGTCTACAAGCTAAATCAGTTCAGTATTTACTTCGAGATGGGCTTGTAGCTGTTCTTCTAAAATGCTTCAGATTTTCATGTATTTGGAGAACAGAGGTTAATAAGTGAAGTCAGACATGTTTTCTCTTTTCTGTCTTAAATAAAAAGTGTTCCCACGCAGTTTCGGTGGTTGGTGAACTAATACATAATGAACATCTATTGAATCTGAAAATTTGTTACTACTTATATAGTGACTTATAGACATGATGGTTTGATTAAAATATCTGTTGTGTAATACAACAGAACTACATTTTAATCCGAAGTATTTTAATTATTAGGTGGAAACGAACAGTTGCAGCCAGAAGGTCAGGAAGATTTACGAGAATTACTGAAAAAGACACTGGAATTCTGTTTATCTAGGTATGTATATACGTAAATGTAGCAAACTGGGGGATAACCAACAAGACCTAGTACCTAACTTGGGATGTGTGTTAATATATTTTTCATCTGTCTCTTAAAACTAAAGTGGAAAGGATGAGAATTTGGGGGAATTAACATGCTAATTTCAGAGTATCATATTGATGTACCTCTTAAAGCTTACATGAAACTTAAAACTGTTTTGTTTTTTTTTTGGTTTTTTTTTGCAAATTAAAGCTGAGAAACTTAAGCTTTATTTAAGCAAATGATTTTAATTAGTTAGTGAAAATGCTGAAGGAATCTGCTCTCTACTATGTGATGAGTTTTTGTTTCAAGTTGTATCTGTGACACTTGTCCATTTTTATTTTTTTTTCTCCCAACAGAGAAAATCTTGCCAGTGACATGTACCTTATATCACAGATGGACAGTGATCAGTATGTGCCAATAATGACAGTAGCAAACCTTGATCATGTCAAGAAACTCAGTACTGATATGGATTTGATTGTTGAAGTGCTGAGATGTAAGTAAAAGCTCCTCAATTTCAGAAAGCATTTTGGTTATTACCATAGGACTATTAATCTGAATTTTCAATCTTTCCTTTTTAACGTATTGCAATAATAGGCCGTTATTTTTATGTAAAGCATTAAACAGCCCAAGCAGCTTGCAGTTTAGACCATCACAGTTATAGAACTGTATTTTTATCAAAGCTACTTCATATTGCTGGTATTGGATAATGGTCTGTGCAAATAAGAATAATGTGAGTTTAAATTGTGGGATATGGTGGGACAACTCACATAATTGGAGGATCACAACGGATGTCTCAAAGCTGTTTTGTAAAGATAGATGGGGAAGAAGAGATGGAGAAGTCACTCTCTTTTAGCAGAATCTTGAATGTATAGAAGTCAACTACATCAACTGGAAGCTCTGTGCAATACCTCTGGGTCAAGCTCAGAGGGGTTATCTCCAAGGGGGATCTTACAGTACCTCCAAACCAAGAAAATAAGACCAACAAAGCAATATTTGGGTCACTTAAGCAAGTTTTGGATCAACCAAACCTGGTTCTTACAGGTGACTTCAACTTCTCAGACATTTGTGGGAAGAACAATACAGCAGCTCATCTCATCCATCAAATTTCTGGAATGTGTAGAGAATTGTTTTCCCGTACAAGTGTTAGATGTGCCGACCAGGAATGAGGCACTGCTGGACTTGCTACTCAGAAACCAAGAGAACCTGCTTTGTAATGTCTCAGTGATAGCCTTGGCTGTAGCAATCACAGCATTGTGGGGTTTAGGGTCATGCTGAGCACACTGAGGGTTGGTACTAAGGTTTTAGATTTTAGAGAAGCAAAATTCAGCTTACTCAGAGCACAGTTAGGAGGGATTCTGTGAGAAGCTTCCATGGAGGATAAAGGAGCTAATGAGTGCTGAGAGTTCTCTCCTGGAAGCACAAAAACATTTCACTTCCTTTAAAGGTAAGGAAAGTAGGTGGATCAAGAGACCCCCTTGACTTAACTCTGTGCTTTTGAGTCTGCTCAAAACCAAGAGAGAGGCATACCAGAGACAGAGGAGTAGATGAATACCTGTTGAAAGCTACAAGGGCATTGCCAGGGTGCACAGAGATGCAGTTAGAAAAGCAAAAACTCAGCTCAAATTGAATTTGGCCAGAGATGTCAAAAGCTACAAGAAAGGGTTCTTCAGGTATGTAAACAATGAACAGAAACAGAAGGAAAATATTGACCCTGTGTTAAACAGGAGAGGTGAACTGGTCACCAATGACACTGAAAAGACAGATTCTTAACATTTTCTTCACCTCTTTTACCAGCACTGATGGGCCCCAGACCTTGGGAACAGGTTGACCCAGGTTGATGTAACCACAGATGCACTGTCAGTGAAGGAAGAGTTGATGTGTGAACTGTTTCAGGGGCTCGACCCCTACAAATTGAGGGACCCTGACAAATATCCATCCGTAGGTGTTCAGAAAGCTGGCTGACATCATTGTGAGACCACTTTCCATAATCTCTGAGAAGCTGTGGAGATTAAGGGATGTCCCAGAAGAGTGGAAGGCTTATGTTACCCCCATCTATTAGAAGGGCTTTAAGGAGGACCCAGGAAATTACATGCCTAACAGTCTTACTTCATTTCCTGGGAAAGTTATGAAACAAATCCTCTTGGGGACTATCACGGGTCAAATGAAGCACCTGGTTGTGAAAAATCAGCTTGGGTTCACCAAGGGCAAATTGTGCTTGACACACCTGGTCACCTTCTATGACAAAGACCTTATTACCATGTTCTAGTATTTAAAATGTGACTGCAAAGAACATGAAGACTCCTTTTATACAAAGAGTCATGTGGTAAAGATGGGGGATAGTGGGTCCAAGTTACTTCTTGGGAGATTCCAACTGGACACAAGAGGAACATTTTCCACAATGAGAACAATTAGTCATTGGAATAATCTTACCAGGGAAGTAGTGTGTTCCCCAACACTGGATACTTTGAAGATTCAGCTGGACAGGGAACTGGGCCATCCTGTCTTGACCATGTTTTTGCTAAGAAAAGTTGCATCAGATGGTCCAGAGGTCCAACCTGGTATTATGTGTTTCTGTGATTAATTTCTCAGAGAAGGCTGGTGGACGTTACCACTAGGGTAAGAATCAAAAAAGAACATGACTCAACGTGTGCTTTAGAAGAAAATAGTATTGAATTGGGAATTTCTAGGCTGGAAGAGTGTGGAAATTATAAGGAACATGTCTACTTGGTTTCATATGTTTGAAAGTATTCTCAGTCATCGTCTGCTCATTTCTTAATGTTCGAAAGTATTTGAAGCTTTGCATTGCATTGCATAACTGTGTCCACAGCATCTTTTGGTGTGCAAAGCTATTATGATTGCTGACCTCTGAAATACATTCTTGTCTCTTCTCTCTTAGCGTTGCCTTTAGTTCAAGTGGATGAGAAGGGGGAAAAAGTTAGGCCAAATCAGAATCGCTGTATTGTGATTTTACGTGAAGTACCTGAATCTACTCCCATTGAAGTAAGTGATTCCTTGTTATGTAAAGAATACTTTTCCCCTAGGATTTAGAAGTTAGATTTCCGGATTTCAATAAGCATATTACATTTCTCTCAGCATTTCCGAAGCTTAGTTTATTGTGTTTATTTGGAAAATAAATATGTTTGATAGGAGTATGTTGCTCATAGGAAGGCTGTGGTAGAACCTGTAGCTCTGCAGAGGACTGAGAAACTGACAGTGCTGTCTTTGGTAGAGCTGCCATCATTTTCTTGGGCACTGCCTTATCCATATGCACTTAGTGGATAAATAGCAAAAAAGACGAAGGAAGATAAGGCTTAGCCTAGAAAATGCCACTGTTGAATCTTGAAGCTTATTCAAGTAAAGTACTTAAAGCTTTGCAAACATGTCCATAATGCTGAGTTGAGAGCTGTAAATAAGTCACTTAAGGATCTCCACTGGCTTGTGGAACGAGTGCAACAGTAGAGAACTTGATTCTTTAAAAGATCCTCAATGCAACTCTGATGTAGGCAGGACTATGACTAATGGGAATATTAGAAAAGATTATGGGGCTGTAGATTAAACAATCCTGAATTTTCAAAAAGGAGGAGAAGGCACAGATTCTTGATGATAGGTAGATATTTTATTTTTCCCTCTGTTTAATTTTACAAGGAAGAGTAAAGGTTCTGAAAGAGTTGCTCTTCTTGATAGTCTTCAGAAAAAAAATCAAAGTACTGCACTTTAAAAACTTACTACAAAAAAATAAGAGGCCTTAATAAATAGGAACATGATAAAATGAATTGGAAGGAAAAAGCTGGATATTTGCTATGTACGTAGCTTAAAGATAATAGCCCCTTCTAGCTTTCCAAGTGAAATGAAACCTTTCAAAGACTGCCTAGCTTTTAGTATTGTAGATTCTTTTTTAATAGATATATTTATTTTTGTTGCTGTCATCAGTTTGTCACATTGGATGTGTTACCCCTGGGTGGTCATTCTTAAATGCTTCAGACAAAGTTCTGAGGAGTCTTTATTTTCAAAAAGAATTTGTCTCAAGTGAAGTGTTTTATACATTGTGTTTAAATTTGCCAGACTGAAAAAATCTAGACTTACCTGGCCAGATTTAATAGCCTACATTTTCTGGTACAGCAGTGTCAGGCTTTATTTAAGCAACAAAGTTCCAAAATACTGTAAAGGCCTCCCAAGTTGTGTTGCCTTTTGATGCTGCTCACCTCAACTCTGTGAGGAAAAACAAAAAATATGTAAATAAATTAAAATATGAAGTCCAATGTTTGTGTTTTCTCTAGAAACTAACAGATTATGTTTGAGGTAACGTAAACCCTGTTTCAAATACGTGAGTCTGTAGACATTTGAGTTGAAGCTTATCTCTGAGTTTCTGCTGAAAGGGCAGAATTCTCCTGTCCTGTGCCATATGCACGGGTTTTTGTGAGGCTCCATGGTTTTAGGGACTGAAGAGAAATAGACATCTTTCTGCACTTGATACCAAGGTTAAATGTCTCTCTATGGCCTAAATAGTTTATCCCCCCATATTTAAAGGGAGCAGGCAACTTCTCTTGCATTATGGCCTTAGACAGTGCTTGTTTGAATTCCTCCTAGCTAGCAGGTAGATTGGAGAGAGCTATCACTGCTGCAGGTGTTCTGAACTCCTCAGTTCTGTTTTGTAAGCCTGAAAGTACTTTCTCTCTTTCTTGCTTGGAGTTCCAAAGTTTTGCACTTCAAATTGATGTTTTCTTCTCTCCATCCCTTCTCTCTACCTTGTTATCAAACCACTTTCTTCAGGAGGTTGAAGCACTTTTCAAAGGAGACAATTTGCCTAAGTTCATCAACTGTGAGTTTGCCTATAATGACAATTGGTTCATCACATTTGAATCTGAAGCCGATGCACAGCAGGTAACACTATTTTTTGAAGCATATTAGAACGTAACAGTAAACAAGGACAAGATGAGGGTGAATTGACAGGTCTTAAACAGTATTACAAATGCGTAACAATGAAAAAGAATAATACCCAAACCTCTAAAAACAGTAATGCTTCCCCTGAGCTAGTACTATCAGTGCTACTAAACATAACTCTTAAGAGTTTTATCTTGTTCATCTTTATCTTTGGTGTCCTGGCCAAAGCTACGATTTTTTTTGTACAGAGAACATTGATATTTTGGGTGAAAATTGATATTTTGGGTGAACCATTGAAATGCTTCAGTCATAACCATTAAAGTCTTGTTTTAATGCTACTGAAGCACTTCTGCAATGATAACCTAAATTTAGGTGAATGCAGATTATATATGAGTTTTCTATAGTGTAACATTAGCAGACACTCCAGGAATTATTGGTAGGCTCAGCCTGTCAAAATGTAAGTTTCCTGTGTTTAAATTATATGTGACAAATAAGATAATTACTTTTTTTAAAGGCTTACAGATACCTTAGAGAAGAAGTGAAAACTTTCCAAGGAAAACCAATTAAGGTAAATAGAGCTTTATGGGGTTTGGGGGGAAGCTTGTGGCTTTGTTCTGGTTTTTGTGGCGTTCACTGTGTTTTCTAATATAAATTTAAATGGTACAGTCTCAGGAGCCACGTGACCTGGAGTTGGGTTTTGAAATGTAGCCCATACAATGCTACTTCTCCTTTTCCTCCTTTCTGACAGTGGCATATGCAGCCCAGCATCAGGCAGCAGGAAAGCATTGAGCTGTTCCTACTGTCCTTGAAGCAGAAAGCAGTTACTGACAAGTGTCCATTTAAAATTTGAGAGCTGCTGGTTTGAACCATCCTGATATAATTGGAAAGGATGCTGTAGTAAATAATCTCATCTCCTTTGCAGGCAAGGATAAAAGCAAAGGCAATAGCTATAAACACATTTTTGCCAAAGAATGGATATAGACCTCTGGATATGAACCTCTACACGCAGCAGCGTTACACAACATCCTTTTACATACCTCCAGTATACAGTCCCCAGCAGCACTTCCCATTGTACAGCTTAATTGGCCCACAGACCTGGTCAGCCACACACAGCTACCTTGACCCTTCATTGGTAAGTCTCTTGATTGTGAAGCAGTTCTATTCTTTTCAAAGTTTGGTACTATTTTCTTACGAAGTACTGTGGTGTAGGAAGTATATGTGTCCTGAAAAGGGGAGTTTAAGATTCTAATTCTTCTTGAAAAACAGTCCTTCAGAATCCTTGCCATGGTGTACAAAGATGGATTATTTGAAATTGTATGTGGTCTCAGGCTGGAGTGTGATTCTTTTTGAGGCTGTTCTTTAGTAAAGATTATTAACTAAGCATTACCAAAAGAAATCTTAGTAAGAATTTCTTTTAGCAGTGGGTTAAAGCTTCTTTAGAAATTAGATCTTCAGAATATGTATGTGAATACCAGAAAAAGCAATTCTGATATGTACAGAATAAACTTAATGGAATCAGATAGATAAGGATAATGTGATATCTTGATCTTCTAGCAGGAAATTAGACTCTAGGTTGACATGCTGAATTATGCTATTTGTCATGTTCTTAAAGCAAAATATTTTCTGTGCAAAAGTAACGTCTTTTCGCAATAAAAAAATAAAATTACTTTTGCCAATTACAAAGATCACTTTTAAATTACCTTTTTTTTTTTTTTTTTTTTTTTTTTTTTTTTTTTTTTTTTTTTTTTTAAATTTTCTTAAGGAGGCTATTGGTAAGCCTTAAAGCTAGAGTGATAGCAATAATCCTTATATATTCTAATGGGACACCCTTTTCATCCTGCAGTCCTGCTTCCATCTTCTCCATTGTGACAGTCCCATCAGAATTACCTTGGCTCCTTTTAGTCTGCCTTTGTTATTCTACAAAAACTAACAGGAACATAGTTTCCTGTAATGACTGGGAGACTAAGGGTTCCTAGCTGGAGCCTCTTTCTTTCCTCTGGAAATGCCTCTTTACCTGCAGCTTAAAGGAACACGGGTAGCAATGCTCAAAATTAGAAGTTCTTTAAAGATTTTTTGGCAGAGGATTAACATGTCCTTGAACAAACTTGAGCAAACTTCTTGTGTACTGAATAGCAAGCTAATTAAAAAGTTGGTGTGCTAAAGACTTCACAGGCAGGGAAAGTAACCAGAGCCCTTGCAGGGGAAGGCAAAAACTACCTTGCTAAGCAGCAATGAATGTGAATGTTCTTCTAGATAAACTGACTACTGCAGTCTTGCTATGGGATACTGAAGTAGCTGGGTGAGACTGCTGTAGAAGACATAGATTAATTGGCCACAGCATACTGTGTACCTACCTTATGTTGTCCTGGAACTTCTTGTGTTCCAGAAAACTTACCAGTCCTGTCCTTTGGGGAAGACATTACAAGTTTGCCAGCATTAAAGAGCTTGTACCTTTCTTAGTCAAAACAGAAAATTAACTGTCTGAGCTTTATCTCCCACTGTTTTGCAGTGTATTGTCATTGGTTAGTTCCATTTTATGTACATGAATGTAACATGATGTTTCTTGATTCTTTTGTAGGAAAAGCTATATTTGAATAGAAATCACTTAAGGAGAACAGGGACCATGAGGAGCCATGACACAGGAATAATTTTCATGAGACAGGGTTACAGTTTGCATGTAGAGACTTGTATGAAAATATTGCGGGTTTGATCCCTGTATGAGTCATTCTCTTAGGAGTTGGCCTTGTGGTCCTTGTGGGTCCCTTGCAACTCAGGATATTCTGAGAACTCTGTGGTCTCTGTAGCAGAAATTTCTCTCTTCTGCTTCAGCATAAGCACTAACAATACTTTCTCTCATCTCTAATTTGAGGTTGAATACACTCAGTAGTGTGGGCATACCATTTTTGTTCTGAAACTAGAATATGGCAACACATGTCCTCAATTCTAAAACCACCTAGTTCTTCATCATGTACTTAATAGGGTTTGAGAAAATATCTAGTTTGTCCTTCTTGGGAGGGGAAAAAAAACTTTAAAAGTATGTTTGAGGCAGATGACTTCTGTGGAGATGCTTTTGGTACTATTGGAAAATGGAAAAAAAAACCCAACAAGCATTTTTTTCTTCCAAAAGGATCATCCATCATTATAAAGAAAGAAGGGTTGACCATTGCTAAGGTCCCTTTAAGCAGTGAATTAAACTTGTTTTCCTTTAGTATGTTTAGTGTCTTCTTGTTATTCAGGCTTACTAGCTTTTATGGAATTTTGCAGCATTTAAGTTGTAACTCTGAAACCAGAAAGTACTTCAAAGCAGTATTTTGATGAAACTCTGTTCCTAAAAGAGATTTTTTGCTCTCCTGATGGCCTTTTTGTGGAGTCTCAGGTAGAATTTGCTGTCGTGCATGCTGAGTTAGGCTAACAGTAGTTTGACACATGACAGCTTTGGTGTTAAATTTTCTTTTCCATCGATAAGTGATTTGTCTTAATTTCTGCAAGAAAGCTCGGTCAGGTTTAAAGACACCTTTATAGGAGATGGTGTTACTCCCAGCTGTTTTTCGTCATTTAATAAAGTGTAGAAAGATTCTTACTGTTCTGCGTTGTAGTTATTTTCAGGGGGAGAAGACTAGCAAGCTTTTGCTGATGCTAAAAGTAACATGTCCTAAATGAAACTCACTTGTACATTTAAATAAAAAAGACAAAAGTGTGCTAGTGAGGTTGGAAAAATTACTTTGAACATGCTTCAGGTTTTGAGATATCTTGTTAATACAAGACACTGATAGGCACCCACGCCAGGAAATCTTTTACTAATATTGCTTTTTCAGACAAGAAGACAGTATTTCACATGTGGAATAAGGTGGTAAGATATGAAAAGCATCAGAGCTCCACTTAACATCCATTTATTCTCTGGGCTTTATTTAGGTATCACATGGAAGTAAAATGAGTAACTAAAAAGACTTTTTTTCCTTTTAGGGGGGGATTCACATATGCATTTTTAGAAAAACAATTACAGACTATGTAGATTAGAGATTCTTTGACAAAAAAGTATCTGTGTACTCCAAAGTCCTGTATAGGATGGTGTGAAATAGGAGAGTTATTTAACTTAGCTCCAAGAATTTTGACTTGATGTTTTTCAATCCTCTTAAATTATCAGGAGTTGAATATGTGTAGTGGCTGTCTTCTCAAAAAACAACATCCGTAAGTTGGTTACAAGGCACTGGACAAATGCTTTATTGCTGTTGAGCCAATCTTTTAAGTACTGTCCTGCAGGGAATGACGTAAAATACAGGGTTCAGAAAAAATAATACTGGTTTTCCTTATAGTGATGAGCATGCAATATGTTTTTTTAGGTAACACCATTTCCAAATACTGGATTTATCAATGGGTTCACATCTCCAACCTTCAAGCCTGCTGCTTCTCCATTGACAACACTCAGACAATATCCTCCCAGGAACAGGCAAGTTCAGCTATCTTTTAACAATGTACAGCTGTTGTATTATGTGGCAGGTGGGGTTTTCATCTGCTTATATTAGTAACACCAGCTACCTTGAGGTTACTTGTGAAACTGAAACTGTTACAAGGTTAAGTGAGGCGAAAGGGCAGATGGTGCTCCTGTTGTTAATGGGGGTCCTGTTTCAAAATGTAAATGGACAGTCTGAAAGCTGAGAACTTGTCTGTTCCATGATTTGGGGTATTCAGCTGAAATATTCTGAGAGACGACATGATCAGCAGGATTAATCATATAGTATTTTCCGTTTCAAGTAGGTTTTAGGTAAAGGCTTAGTTGAAAATAGACAGTGAAAAGGTTCATTTTGATAATTCACCTGACCTGTTAAAATGAATGTTGATCATTCTTATACATGAAATACACAATAAAGGCCTAAAGATCTTGCTTCTTCTGAATCCTGTGTACAGGCTTAGGCCTCAGAAGATCTCTCCTAGTATGTATGTTGAAATGACTTTTGAATTTATAGGAATCCTAGCAAGTCTCATATACGACATACAATACCCAGTGCAGAGAGGGGACCTGGGCTTCTAGACAGTCCTACAATATTCAACTTTTCTGCTGATCGTTTAATCAATGGCGTCAGGAGTCCACAGACGCGGCAGCCGGGACAAAGCAGGACACGGATGCAGAGTGCTACTACGAGTTACACCAAGAGGGAAGTAGGAACTGGGCGGATGGAACAGACCAGCGTTGACTCGTCTCCTGGACTGGGGAGAGGAAGGTGAGTGCACTCTGTAGTTGTCCTCTGAACAGCCAAGTATTGCTGCTTTTAAACTACTCCGTTCAGTGCAGAGGTGTGGTATTGTGACTGTTTTCAATACTGCTTTAAGATGAGATTGTCTCCTCAAAAATAAAATCTTGGAAAGTACTTCAGAGGAAGTACAGGTGCAAAGTGGACTTGCATACTTTCCTACCAGATGAAAATCATTAATGGCAACTGATGAACGATGTACAGCCGTAAGATCTGATCCTCCCTTCTTTCTTCATCTGGTATAAGAAAGTTTTTGTATATTATTTGCTTGACTTTAATAAGGAAGTTCTGCCCATTCTACTGTTCAGCAGTGCACCTGAACCTCTACTAGCAGTGCTGATTCTTAACCTTTTCAGTTAAAAGATCAGAATTTTGACCAAATTGGACATAGACAGAACAAAGATGGTGGATTGGTGTGGATCGAAGAGAAAGGGCTACATGCAACTAGGGAAACTACTGTTATGTAGTTTTAAAAAGCAAAGAAACAAAGAAGAAAACCAACTATCTGGGGAGCTGAAAATCAGTGGTACCAATAATAATGTGAGAATTTAACAGGGTTATCTTGGAATCTTGTTAAATACAGTAGGGTTCTAATAAGCACTTTATAAAAGCATTGTGCAGCTTTGATAATGGCTGTGTTTGTCTCTAAGTAAATCATATTTTGAGTGACTTACTGAATTGGAAGATAAGTTGAATGTTTTGCAGATGATCCTATTTTAGACTTGTATCATTGCAAAATTAAGTGGGGATTTTGTGCAAGTACTGTAATACTTTTCTAAATCTAATTTGCCAAATTGTGTTATAACTAATGGATGAAAGTATGATTAAGAACTTAGGAAACAAGATTACTCAAACTATAGACTACAGAAAATTTACAGGAGTAGTCAGTACTTAGATTTATATTCTGACGTTTCAGTATTTAATACGTTTAGAATAATAAAAGTCAAACAAAAGAAATTAGAAAATATATTGAAACCAAATTAAAATGCATTGCAAATTTTGAACTCCTGCTTGGAGGGGCTTAACCTGAAACAGGGCTGGGGGAAAAGTGCTGAAAATGTTTTGGAGGAGCTTTACCTGAACTGAAAATAGTTAGCTATATTTGGAAGGTTACATTGGTATTAAAAAAAAAAATCCTAAAACTTTTACTTTGGATATTGTAGTGTTTTGTCTAACCCTTCTATGTAACCAGCACTGAGATGCTTTTAACACAGGAATTACTTGTAACCAGTGTATTCTTATGCTGACTTGCATAAGATCTGTACCTTTATTTTAACGAGAGGTTGCTAGGAATTTTTCCTTAAAACATTTTTTAATAACCTGTCTAGAATGAAGATGGATAAAATAGCAATTTGAATTAATTTCATTTGGTTTCATTAACTGTCTTCCATTCATTTTTAGGCAAGGTTTTGATTTCTGCTTTCTTTCCCTTAGGAAAAACTCATATGGCTACCGGAAGAAAAGGGAGGACAAGTTTACAGTGAGTGTTTGTGATCTTATTCATCTATAATAAATGTAGGGTAATAAGGCAAAAATATGGATATTAGGTGGAGTAGTGGGTGACAAAGTTAAAATTACTCTTACAGTAGCAAAAAATTTCCATCTTAGTGTTACTTTTTCAACTTGCCAGTGTTCACATTCAGGGCGAGCTAAACAGCTAAGCTGAAGTTCAAAACACTTAATATTTCATTATTATACATTCATGTAGGTGTTAAAGGACATACATCCTGGTGTCATAATGTGTAGCAGAAATGTTAATTATGAAGTGGTTCTGTTTCTTAAATGCATCTTCAAGAGCCACTTGGTAAGGGTATGCTGACACTACTGAACTATTGTGGTTTTGGTGAACTGAAATTCAAGGTTAATACCAAAATAGCCTTAATATACCAATATAGCCTTTTCAAAGGCTGTAGAAGAGAATAAACTTTTTGTTATAGGATTTAAGGTTTGATGTGATAAAACCAGTAATTTCTCTGCAATTCGTTTTTGCCACACTTGGCATGTTCATGAAGTTGAACCAGATTATTTCCTTATTCATGTTACAGTTGTAAAATAACATCACTGCATGAGCCATAACACTTCCCTATAGGTCTGGAATCATTGCATTTGTGTGTTTGTGGCTCCTGCTGTTGAGTAGCCTTAGTGAACTTAGATAAAGGAGCATGAAGGTTTAGCAAGTGATTCCTTCCCTTTGGTTGCTTTTAGTTCTTGTCAAACCTTCCCAAAGCTAGTGAGATCAGATTACATGTAGGATCCCCTGGACTTCTTTATTTTGCCCTTTCAAAGCCGCTTGAATTTTTAGATTGAGGTTTTCCTATTAACTTTTTTCTTTATTTGAAAGAACAAGGAAGTGGTACAGGTTAAGTGTGTGAGTGACTGGAGTGAAAGGATTACTGAGCAGAGTGGCACTTCTGAGTGAGCTGACTGCAAAGATTATTTTAACTCTGAGTGTAAAAACAGGAAGATGTGACTTCTTTGGAGACCCACGGTTCTCTTCTCTCAGCACTAGGCTGTAATTGCAGCCTGTGCAGCCAGATTCCTTAGTCTCTTTTGGCTCAGGAATCGTCAGTGTCCTGTTTGGTGATGTACCTTGAGCACAGGTGAGAGCTGCTGCACACACATGACTGTGTACAGTGGGAAGGAGCACACTCTGAAGCAAAAGATTAAAATTTGACCCCTTTAGACTGTGGAAATAATTTAATCCAGCATCCTAGTTCTTGTGTGATGCTTTAGCCATTAGATAGTGTACACAGGACGTCACTAAAATCAGTTGTATTTGAATGGAGTAATGACTTCTTTAGAAGATCTTTCTTTAAAAGGAAAAATTTAGAGAGTATGCATGTTTGCATGAGAAAGAAGATGGAACTGTTTGATCAGATTGTTTTTGAGGCTACAGTCATAAGCCAATTACTCAACTTGTAACAAATTAACATGAGAAACTTTATGCAATTAGCTTAAAATTCATTCAACTCTTCCCTCATCCTGCTAGTTTAAGATGCTAATGCCATTTGACTCTTACTATGTTGGGGTTTTTAGGACTCAACTGTGTAACTTAAGTGTTTGTAACATACAAGCACTTTCTATTGCAAAACTGCAGTCCACTTGAAGAAAAGCAAGTGCTATGATTTGAAGAATGATTCTTAAAAAACCCCAAGCTTTTCCTCTTGCAGTTTCAGCTGGATAAGTGTAGTCTCAGATGACCTGCCAAAGGTCACAGACTTCAGTTTTGGAGGTGTGCAGTCTTGGTTGCTGTAGCACTCTTAGACCATGTCCTGGGGGTAATGCTGGGTCAGTAGCAGTCCTGGGAGTTGCAGTTGTTCTTGCCTCTGTATTTGTTATTTCCCCACTTCCCTCTTGACGCACACTTCTTTTGACATAATTTGTAGTTTGTGAAAAGAACTCAAAGGTGGTCTTGTATCTGTTGCTCTTTTTGTCAGAAGCATTGTTCTCCCATTCAGACCATCTTGACTATATACTCATATTTTCCTTTTCAAAATAGGAGCTGTTTCAAAGAGTGCTTTGCATTTGGCATTTTGTGGCAGAGATCATCTTAGCACAGGCCTGAGCACAGTCAAGAAACAGTTACTTCTTTGTTTGCATGGTGCAGGTGGAGTTAATTGGTAACTTCAGTTACAGCATATTACGAAAGGAATTTTATTTTTTCCGTGTAAATAGAATGTAGCTTTATAAATCCTTACAAGCAGTCCTCTCAAGTGATCTTTAATTGTGGTACTTGTAACTCCTGAACTGCTGTCTCTATTGCATAATGGTTGCATTTAGCCCACTGATCTTTGGGGGTTTTTTTGCCTGGGGCATTGTTTTTCTTCATAGGCTTAGTGATTTTTTTAGTGAATTCTCTGTTTCAAAAATAGTTTTGACACTTATCTTTGCGTTTTTACATAGTGACCATATAAGTTCATGGTAATTAGATGAAAATTGCTGTTGTCTGTACTACATGCAAGGCATGCTGTCTTGCAATTTCTTGATAAATCTGAAAATAAGATTCTTGTTGACTCCTGTCTTTTATTTAGAATGTTACCAACTACACATAAATGGGCTTTATATTTTCACTATATCATGACACCTAAACCAGTGTTTTCCTTTCTATGTCAGTGTGTCTGTCCTGAAGGAAGGGTCTGTGAGAAGACTTTTCTTACTATACCAGTATCACTAAAGCTTATGCATATGCCACCCCATTTAAATAATAATTACATATATCAAGGGCAGCAGTGGAAAAGGAAAATATCTATTCCTTGGTACTGTGTAGTTTTCTTCGGAGTTCTCTAGGGCTTCCCTGATATAAATCAAGTGCAAAATACAGTTTAGAGTTGCATGTCTTTTCTGTCATCTAGTGCAGTAACCTCTACATGTTATTTCTATTCCAGAGAGGCCAAACACAGTCTCCACCACCCGTAAAACCTCCATCTCCCAGCTTTGAATTGGGTTTATCTAGCTTTCCTCCATTACCCGGGGCTGCTGGCAATTTGAAGACCGAAGACCTATTTGAAAACCGACTGTCCAATGTGGTAATAGGAACATCAAAAGAAAGAGTGAGTATGGGTCTTCATTTTTTTGGGAAACCAGCGAGTTGCATACCTGTTGTTTTCAGATTTGGTGGCTTATGGATGGAAATAACTTGTGGTTTTACGTGGGTTGTAAGGAATGCTTTTCAGCTGTCAAATGATGTGTTGCTGCCTTCTTCTCTTACATCTTAGAATTTCTTGCGTATTCTCTTTGGTGTGGAGTATGAGCACCAGTATAATAAGTAGATGTTAATAGCAGAGATTAGAAAATATGCTCTTTGCTGTTCTTAACTGCCTCTGGCTTTTTGATAGACTCAGGTGAAAAGTATGTGATACATTTTCCTCCTGTTTGAAAGACTTCTAAGTTGTATATGAAACGCTTAAAGTGACAGAGACAAACTTTTAAGCACCAAAATAATGAAGCTGCCCACATGATCTCAGTACACACGGCATCATAGCTGGAACAGAAACTGTTACCAAAACCAGCTGGATCCCAGCGTTGTCTTGTCATATTGCTCAGAAAGATTAAAATACACCAGGATAACTTGGCAACCACTGATTTATAGATGTAGTAGAGATGCAGTTGAAAATTAATGTTCAGTAGCTGTTCATAGATTTCATTCTTAGAACTGTCTCTGCCATGCCATCTGTGAGTGACAGTATGTTCTCCTCCAGAAAGACTCATATAGCCCTCTGCACTATGGAACACTCTAGGCCATGGAAGTCTATATTGGCTTTTTTTGCTAGCCCTAATTTAACTTGTGTTTTTCTAGCTGTACCACAACTGAAGAAGTTAACCCCTGGATTAGCAATTCAAATCAACCTGGTGAAACACCAAAATCTCTTATGTGTCGTCTCTAAAACCAGCCTGTTGCAGAAGTGGTTTTTTTGGTGCCCACATGTCAGTGGTGGATACGGGGTATTTTCTGGTCAAGGGAAGGGGGGAAGCAGCAGGGCAGCCTGCACCCAAAGCAGTGATTGTACATACAACTATCTGCTCTGTGTCCTGCAAGCGGTAAGAGGGGCAGCTATGTTCCAGGGTTGCATTTAGGGGGAACGTGCAGTTCAGAGCCATGGTAAGAGCAGTGTTTAACTTACTGTCAGTACTACAGATTATAGGCTCTTTTTGGCCAAGACTTATGCATTTTTAAGGTATCATACCTCTATTAGTTGTGAAGTGTTTTTTGACTATTGTATTTCATGATTTAAATATAGTTCCAGCACTTGCTATTAGTCCTGCAGCTGAAAACCCCTTGTTCCCCCATTACAAATCTAATACTTGCTTTGTACTTATTGTAAAGATCTTACACTTCTCCCCTGTAGAGGCAGTCTTCCTATCAGTCAGGTACTGAGGTTTTGTGATAGTGCAATGCACTGACACATTAAAAAGCTTCAGTTTTGAAGTTTATTTTTCCAGTTTACAGGAGTTATTCTGTACCATTGTACGGAGGAAAGGGATTATGCTGCCTTTCCTTGTTGGCATTTAAATAAAGAATAAGGTAACGGCAACTGGCTCCAAAGAGCAATTGTGTTCTTTTACAAAGGTGTTTGAGCTAACATCAGAATCTTGCCAATGTATACAGTCTGCTTTTCGCTTTGATCTCAATATTTTTTTATGTCACCTGATGTAGAGTTACAGAGCACTGAAGTAGAGTTACACAGTGCTGCTCTTGTTTTATACATGGGCAAATTCAATGTACAGAAGCTGAGCAGGCTAAAGTCAATAATTTTCAACAGTAGTTATCCAAGCATCATATCTTTATGCTCTCTGCTTTGTGATGCTCTTCTAGGTGTAGCTCTGGGGAATGGCAGGTGGTAATGATCCCACATTTTGTAACTAGGAAATGCAACACGTGAGATCAAGGGCTGTTTTGACAAGGAACAGCACTTGCATGTCTGCTTGGCTTGAAACTATTCACACTTAACTGTGTACCTGCAAGTTCTGATGCACTTGGGCCAGAATGCTCAGCAACTTGCAACTTCAAGCCTTTGCACACACTGTTATAGTAAGTAAAACTATAGAAGCTGTTCTTTTATTTCTAAACATCCACCTTTTACTGTCTTACTTTTCCTTTGAGTCAGACTAGGCTTAGATGTACTGCAATAATCTATGCTGCCTAATTTTAAAACAGTGACCACAGGAGTCTTAGGTTTTATGCGCTTTGAACAGTGGCTGGGCTGGGGGAAAGGAATGACTCTCTTGTTCCTTCTGTGCTTGTGTTTTTCCATTGCTTTCCCTTCAACATACCAGAATCTTTTCAGGTTTTAGAGTCAGACAGGTCACAAGCAGTACAAAGACTGGAGCACCCTTTAAAACAAACAAAATGCTTTTAAATGTGAGAAATATTTTTCAGGATACAGAGTTGTCTTTCTCTTTTCTTATTTTGTGCCAATTTAAATTCATTGTATGCATCTTGAACCTATTTGGTCTTTATCTGGAAGTACAATTTGGCACTACGCAAGTATCACTTGGCACTAGCAGAATCTTTTGAGGGCTATGGAAAAAACCTCTTTTGCTTGGTACCAAATTGTGCTATAGCATAAGAAAGGGACTTCTAAATGATGGTCAGATCCCCGTTTGCAGAAACTTTTTTTTTTTAAGGTTTGGGGTTATTAGCACCAGCTATTGGGATGATGCAGTTAGAGCTTTGAAGAAGACAGTTCTTAGTGCATGGCTCTAGGAGACTTTTATCTTCATAGGTTGCCTGTGGTTACATGAACAGATGCAAAGCCTGCTTTGTCACCAGCAGGTGCAAAATCTCCAGGTTGAAAGAATTCACTGGTTCCAGTTGCTAGTGTTGTTCCCCAAGGCTCAATATTGGAACCAGTCCAGTTTAATAACTTTAACGATGATCTGGACAAGGAGATTGAGGGCACCCTCAATTAGTTCACAGGTGACACCAAGTTGGGCAGGAGAGTTCATCTGCTGGAGGGCAGGCAGGCTCTGCAGAGTTATCTGGACAGGCTGGATCAGTGGGCTAGGGGGTATGAGGTTCAACAAGGTGTGAAGTGCTGTGTCCTCCACTTCTTTCAGAACAAACCCTGCAGTGCTACAGGCTGGGGGAAGAGTGTCTGAAAGTGGCCCTGTGGGACAGGACCTGGGTGTTCTAGTTGACAGCCAGTGGAACGGGAACCAGTGCATGGGCAAGAAGGCCAATGGCATCCTGGCCTGTATCAGGAATAGTGTGGCCAGGGCCAGGGCAGTGACTGTCCCCCTGTACTCAGCACTGGTGAGGCTGCACCTCAAATCCTGTGTTCAGTTTTGGGTCCCTCACTACAAGAAAGACATTGAGGTGCTGGAGCATGTCCAGGGAAGGGCTACAAAGCTCATGAAGGGTCTGGAGAGTAAGTCATATGAGAAATAGCTGAGGGAGCTGGGGTTGTTTATCCTGGAGAAAAGGAGGCTCAGGGGAGTCCTTACTGCTCTCTACAACTCCCTGACAGGAGGTTGTAGCCAAGTGGGGCTTGATCTCTTCTCCCAGGAAACCAGGGCCAGGACAAGAGGAAGTGGCCTCAAGCTGCACCAGGAGAAGTTCAGGATGAACATCAGGAAAAATTTCTTCACTGAAAGGGTAATTAAGCACTGGAACAGACTGCCTAGGGAAGTGGAGGTGTTCAGGAAACAACTGAATGTGGCACATAGTGCCATGGTCTTAGTTGACAAGGTGATGATCGATCAAAGGTTGAACTCTGATCTTAGGAGGTCTTCTTCAACCTTAATGATTCTATGATTCTAACTAAGTTTGTCAGCCAGGTATGTCCCAAAGGGACCTAAGCTTATAACTTTTTTGGAAACAACCGCAGTGTGTTATTTATTTGTCTGTGTTTCTAAATAAATGTAAAAGAAAAAAATAACATACTTGTTATAATACATATATTGGCTCCTTCTGTACCTTCCTATAGTTAATTTATCTTTATAAATCAAATTGTGAGCTGTTTCCTGGTTGTGCTAATTTTCAGGCAAACCGTATTAATTGGATATTATGATTGTCCTTCTGTACCTTTTTTCCTCCTTCAGAACATTAATGTGGATGCAAGTACAAACACTATTCCGTCAGGAATTCCTCGAGAGCCGTTGTTACCGGTTTCTTCTACATTGCCCAGGACCTTTGAAAGGTCTCCTTCGCCACCCCAGTCTTCTGAGTAAGCACTTAATTACATGGGTATAATTCTTCTGCTCTGAATCACATTTGCATTTCCTTTCATCAGGCAGAACAATGTAAATAGCTATTAAAATCTTAATCAGTGAAAGAAGTAATATTTTGTTGTGTATTGTACTTGTAGTAAAGGCAATAAAGTTTAATTTCTGAACAATATCATAACAGTGACTCAATCATAATAGTCTTTTAGCAGACCAAAGTTTAGTGTTGTGTTTTGGTTTCTGCAAGTATTTAGAAGTTTAATGAATACCTTACTGTCTTGTATTTAGCTAGCTCTGAAGCATGGAGAGTAAACCCATGGTCCTGTGGGCAGTACTGATGTCCATACCGTAAAGAAAGTTTTTGTAACACTTTATTTGGAACCTGGAAATCAAATTGAGGTGTTTCAGTATCAGGGGAAAGATAACTGAATAACCAAATGCTATCAGAACATCACGAATTACAGGTAGTGTCAAGTTCCACGGGAATATACTTTTTAAAATTTGATAACATTTTAAAAAGCAATGCTAGTCATCATGTGCTAGGCAAATTATAGCTATAACTACTTATAGTCCTACTCAAACTTTTTAGACCTATTATTAGAGCATTGATCTATCCTGAAGTTTCACTTTTCATGAGCCTTGCTTCCTGCTAATGCTTACAGGGACCCCAAGGTTGTGGATAAACAGCAGAGAGAGACACAGAGTACAGAAAGACTTTCTTCTTCCTCACTCAGTACTGCATGTAAATCGGTACAAGTCAATGGGGCTGCCATAGTAAGTGACCTTACTGCTTCACTTTTTCTTAATGATACAGTTTGATGCATTTAACGGAGTATTTATTGCTACCCAGTGTTGCTTAATCATGTGAGTCCAGCAACCCTGAATTTGCCCAGCAGCTTTAAATTTGTGTGTTGATGGCTTCATGATCACTTGCATGATATAATTATGCAATTAACAGTGCAAAAGATAGCTCCTTACCCAAATCCTCTCCTTGGTAGTATACTTGAGGTAGAAGCATTAGTACACATGTTGATATTTAAACAAGAGTATTCATCATCTTTCAGCTGGTTTAGAGTTTGTTTGAATGGGAGTTATTTTGCCCTATGCCGGTACTCCATTTTTCTGGAACACGGTTTTGCATTTTACCTTGTCTTCTGATTGATTGTCTTATACAACTTCTGTAAACTTCATAATCAAGCCCTCATCTGTATATTTTAGTACAGCAGTCTTTGGGGACAGGGACTTTAGCTTTTTTTGTTCATAAAAGTCAATTAATTTTTTCTCAGGGTGCTTTGTTTGACTCCGTCCTGTTTGCTTCCGATTTCACAGGAACTGCGAAAACCTAGTTATGCGGAAATTTGCCAGAGAACAACTAAGGATCCTCCTACATTGCAACCCCAGAAAGAACAGAAGCCAAACACTGTAGCATGTGGGAAAGAAGAAAGAAAGCCCACAGAAACAATAGAGAAAAACAGAGAACCTCCTCCTGCAAAGTCACATCCTGGACAACCCAAAGACCAGAGGAGACAGTCAGGACGCAGATCGTCCCCTCCAGCCGTTGGCAAACGCTTAAATAAAGAACAGAGTACCCCTCCAAAATCTCCTCAGTGAAACTAACACCTTGGGGGGATTTGAGAAGAGGTCTACTTCCCACAAATTAAACCCATGTTCCCACTAAGATACCTGAGAATGAGTTGCTGGTTAGGAGCTTGCAGTGATACTGGGCATATAATAATGCCTGCAAGTTATTTTTCTGTGAAGTACTTTTTCCCCTCTTGAACAAACATTCTATTTTTCTGGGTATTTCTGGATAGTTGTTCTAAACCTTACATTTAGATTGGTGCTTAATTGGAGGTGAAGCTTAGTGTGATTTTTTTTTTTTCCAAGGTGTAAAATATTTGTCTTTAAAAAACAAAATCAACTTTTTATTAAGCCTCTCTGTGGCTGTGTGAGTGCAAGCTCTGTATAGTGAGTTTTTTCTAAACTGTTAAGCAGAAATGTGCTGCTGCAATATTTTTAATAAACAGGTCTGCAAGTACATATCTAAAGTGTCCAAAAGACTGATAACGGCAGCTAGTGTGTAGAGTGCAAGGAGGTAGAACATATTTTACAAATTAGTATGTGACCTTGAAGACTTTTTTTTTTATTGGGCTGCTGTACTAAGTGTCAGCAAATGAACTTGCACTTTTAGGTTAAATGAGTAGCTGTTTCTAGTATTTTTTAAAAAAATAATCTTTTTTTTGATGTTTTGCACACACAAAATTAATTCTACGGGGCACCATAGCAGTCTTTCTAAAATATTTCCTTTTTTTGACTTACTGCAAGCAAGTAACCATCTTCTCACTCCAGAATAAAACTGATGTTATAATTTGCAAATACAAAGCACATTGTGAATAGAAAGAATCAAGTCTGTGAGCTTCTATGATGGTGAAGCCTGTTAGTGAGTGGATGTTATCAGGAGAAAGCAGTGTAGCCTTCTTGTGATAACTTTAGCTTCCCTGTGCTTGTAAGGGAGTTAACTGAGTCAGCGCTGTATATTCTGGTTACCCCTGTGCTCTGTGTAGACTTTTTTTTAAGCTCTGCCCCAAGTGCTCTTTGAAAGAGTTCATATCTTAGTCAGCCTTGTGTTGACATCTTCCTGTAACTACGAGCATTGGCATATGGATTTAAATTTTTCAAGATGTGAGATAGTGGTGTTTGTTTTGTGTGGTGGAGGAAGAGATCCCTGATATTTACCTCTGGGATGAGGTTTCTCACACTTATTTACTTTAGGAGTGATGCGCTTTCTGAAGGACAAGGATGCACTAAATTAGCAAGTTTCTAATAAAGTTGAATATAAATTATTTTTGTTTTAAGATGCCTAAAGTTTTTCTTTAAATGTTTAAACTGCAGGAAGTTCAGACAAAACTCATTCCTGCTGACTATGACAGTACAGTTTATTCCACAAAAATGTTTATTTAAACAACTGATTTTTTTAAAGAATTATTTCCATCCAATATTTAAAGACTTGAATTTTATTTAAACTTGAAAATGACTTTGCCTTAACTTTTGTACAAGACAGCTTAGAGTTAATGAGGTCTGACCCCATGGAGGGTTAGCATGAATGGAATACAGAATTACTCAGTTACAGTATGTATCTATTGTCACTGGTCTTACTGGGTAAACATACTGTAGTACAGGAACTAGCAGCAGTTTTTGTAATATACCTTAAAGATCTTAAACAGTTGATCTTTTTCAGATTGTTGAAAAACCTGTAAATGCAAATAGTCAATACTGTATTAAATATGTGCACTTGGAAGTGTGTGCTTTGCTTGTACAGTTGTAAATAATCAGAACATATAAAAAGGTACCCTAAAGAAAAAAATCTGATAAAAATTATTGATATTATAAATGTTGCTGTTGAGCTGGATGTAGATAAACTAAATGTTGTGGTTTGAATATTACTTTAATTCGTTGTTTTTTCTTTTTCTTATTTTATTCTGGTGTGTTGAACTGACTCTGCCTCTTCACTGCAAAAGGGAAATGGAACGAAAGTCTTATTTGAAAGCCCTCAAATGTTTTCCCAAAGTCCCTCTAAAAACAAGGGATTTAACCAATTCAAAAGTATTCTGCAATGTAAATAATGAATTTCAGCAGTCAAACTGTAATTTTAAAGTCATTAATAAAAATCAAGTCTAATTGGGGAAAAAACTTGACTGCTGCAAAAATATACACTGAAGCTTACCTGTGTGCTTTCAAGAGTATCAGTGCATGATTCACAGAACTGTAAAGTAACTATAGAAGTTGACTCCTGATAAATCTCCTATTACAAGCATCGATTGGTAACTAGTTGACATTTTAAAATCCAGCCTGTTGTATGCTGCAGAATTGGTCAAAACAGGGCATGCCGGAGTCTGTTGATTTTTTTTGTTTGTTTGTTTCTTTGTTTGTTTAAAAAGCGCACTTTGTGAATGCTGTGGGAGGAGATAAGACCCCGACAACATCACCAAAACCGCTCAACTAGTTCTGTCATTGGATTTATTTTTTTTAATACTCTTCTCCTTTCCCCAGCAGCAGTGAACACGGTAGCTAGATTTGTGTATGGTTTAGGCCAGCTGTATGATTCATTTTGTTTGTCTGCTGCAAGTGAAAGGCTTTCCAGCTGCAAACAATCGCGAGTGGTTCCTTACAGCGACTGTGTACAGCTCGTCATGATGCTCAGCTGGTACCCGAGGTGATATATTGAGACCAGCGGGGTGTGTTGTGCTGTTCTAATGTATTCTGCTGCCATTTGTGCTAGGTCAATACACTGTAATTACTGCTTACCCAGCAACAGTCTGTTGCACCAAAAGTTTAAACCTTCCTCTGACGTGGTTTTTATAGCTTTTTTTTTAAAAAAACGAGGTGACACGCCAAATCGCTGTGTAACATACCATACAACTTCTCCTTACTGCATTTTACTTCAAGATTTTCTTCTCCCCCCCCCCCCCCCCCCCCCCCCCACTCAGTGACAAAATGGAGTTTTCGGAGTAGAGTTGTGAAGTTGCATGCAGACTGTTGCTACGATACAGAGAGAGATTAAAATGTGGCTTTTACAATGAAAAACCTCCCAAAAGCAGTAGCTGAGTTAAAGGTTCAGGGATGCAGTAATTAAAATTGGCATTTTACCTTGTAGGACTGTGTTGTGATGCTTTTCATTTTGAAAATGAGTCAAAATGGGATCTGAGACTCTCATTCCAGGAATTTTAAAGAAATGAAGGTTGCTTTCAAAACCAAAGGTTGTTTCAGATCAGTCCCTCACCATGACACTGTCACTCACAGCTTGGAAATCTGTGAACAGTGGCAATTTTTTTTACCTTGCTGCATTACCCTTCAAAGCCCTGAGCAGTTGGCATGGAAAAAGCCCTTGTTGGAACATGGTGCAGTGTATCACAAGCAACAGCTGACTGTAATGGTGCACACCTATCTCTGTATCTCCTTCAGTAGCTACAGGTAGGGACTTTTGTGCTTTTAACCGATTACACTAATAGCAGCAGACAATCTGAGATTCCTAAGGAGACCTAACAGCTGCCAATTCATGAAACAGAAGTGTAATATGGGAGCCTTTTTGAGGGTTTTTGTTTTTGTTCTTCTTCCATTAAGACTGGAATCAAGCTTACATGTAAACTATCAGTAATTTAAGTTTCCTTTTGTGTCATAAAATGTAAAACTGTCTAATTTGAAAAAAAATATGTAGGTTATGAAAAATAAAGATTTAGGCACTGTTGAATTCCTGATTTTTTTAATTAAACCTTTCTTCAGCAGTATTTTTCATTACCTTTTGTCTTTCGCTCCCATTTTTGGAAATTGTATATTTCTAATTTTGGGAAAAAATGTTTGCTTGCTCTCCTGTTCAACACAGCTGTTGTAACCATCACCTAAGGCTATGTAGCAGCAGCAGAAACCCCTATAACATCTCTGAAAGCGACAATATCTGTCTCTATTAGAGAGCTATGACTGGTTAATGTTTTTAAAGCAAACAAAAAAGCTTATGTGGTCTTTTGTTTACTGGAGGATCTCTTCATTAGTGGTTTCATCAAATTATTAGATAAGGTTTTGGCTTGGTCTTACATATGTATTTTAACATTTGGGTTGGTGCTTTGGTTTCATGGCTCTCAAATATGGAGATGTCATGGACTTATTTTTGACTTTAGATGACTTCAGAGATTATTCTGGTCTTACCTCTAGGAAAGAAAAGCCTCTGGGATATCCTCTCTCTACATAAAAAAATATTTTGGAAATGCACCTATTTTTTTCTTTTAAGGTTTGTCTCTCATTCAGCTGTATCTGAACAAGTTTAGCAATGGATGTAAGCGTGGAAGTATTAACAGTTACTGTGTTCTATAAGCATCTTGAGAATTATTGCAGTATTATTGCTCAGGCTGGTTGTTCTGTAAGTTCCCGGACAGGTTAAGCTGCTTGCTGATTTCCTTCCCCACTGCTATCAGCAGAGTAAGGCAAAAGGAATACCAGCATACACTGGGCACTATGAGCTTCTCCATGTTAGGAAAGTCAGTTAAACTTTGGGATTTGGTGATGACCTGGAGTGCAAGTAGTTGAAGGCAACCAGTTTCCACTTCAGCACGGAGTATCCTGTTCTGCCCTTGGGACAAAGTTTTCTATGTAAAAATGCATGGAAATTTGTCAGCAATGTTGCCATAAACCTAGTGTGGCTCTCGGGAAGCACCCCAACCTTGACAGAAATTGGGGTTTATTTTTCACACAGCAAACTGGGCAGTGTCCCCTTAGTGACAGTTTTCACCAGAACAAGGTGATGTTCGGTGATGGTTGCACCAGCATTCATGTTGAACACATGATTTCGCTTCCTCTTGGGCATGATGAGAAAGAGTATGGAAGATTACATGCAATTGAGCATCCAGAGATTACTTATTGTCACAGAAACTGATTCATTGCACTTTGATCCCAAGGCTGCTTTAGAAAAAAGATTTTATGAAGTTTTAAGTTTTCTAATACACTTTAACTTCACAGACCTTTCAGTTAAAACCTCCTGGTATGGCTGGGCTTTTATGGGTGCAACTTAAGTCAGGAAGTGATTGAATTTCAAATTTTGCTGGTTTATAGATGAAAGTAATGTTACACACTTCATCTCTGCTTCTGAGAGAATAAGCTCTGTAACAGCCTGGTGCCATCCAGTTACTGCAGCATCCACTCTCAGCATGCATATAGATCCTGCTTGTATTTCAATGCCCAGTGTAAGCTGATCAGGTAGAAATTTAACTCCTGTTGGAGTGGCACATGAAATACTGAGCTGTTATGCCAAATAAGCACAGAAATCCTGTAAAGAGGCTGGCCAGCCTCAGCTGTGTCACGTCCATCCTACCTGTCTGCTCCCTCACATCAGCACATTGGCTGGTCTAAAAAGTAACTGAGAAAGGATTTCTTGGAATAGGTCCCAAGCTGTTGTCGTACCATCAGCAGAATGGAGGAATGGACTGGAATGCACAACTGATGTCCACAGGAGACTGGCACTGGTCCTGGCAGGAGCAGTGTTACAATCAGCTGAAGTAAACTCAGCGTTGGTACAATTGGCTTACAACAAATGGAAGGTAAAAATCTTGGCTTAACTGCAACCTTGCTCACTCTGCTGAACGTGGCTCAACTCATCAAGCTTCATCATTTTTGAGCCTTATTTTCACAGTGGGGAGGAGAAAGAGTCCAATTTCTGCTTTAGCCTACTTGTTTATTATGTACAAGCTGTAAATGTGCTAAATCTTAAATCTATCTCATGGTCATGGACTATGAGGAGTCTGTGCATTGTCCCCTCACAACTCTTTTGGACACAGTTCACTGTTTTGCAAAAGGGATGTGTGCTGGGGGGAGGGAGTCGAAGATAAAAATCACTCCCTAATCTCTCTTAAATTCTCATCAGTTTTGAAAGAATAAATTGCTTTATGTGCTTGTTACGCATGTAAGGTGCAGAAACCATCCTGCAGTCTGATGGCTTCACATCCCATTTGCTGTAGGCAGACGGCATCTGCAGAGCAGTAAATCTACCGTGGCTAAGGATGCTCTGAGGAAGGAGGGATAAATGGAAGAATTTAGAGTTGTAAAACACACCGAAGCTGGATGGATCTAAGAAATCTACATGGATGGAATCAGTGGTACATAATGAAATGTGTCTAATGTCTTCCAAAACAAGTCCTATGTATGCCCTCTATACAACTTGGGATGTCAGCCCAGGTAGAACAAGTGAGTGAAATTCAGGAGGTCCAGCCTGTTGTTTCCAAGGCTGAGGGTGTTTTCCAGGAACCTACAGCTCATAGGCTGGAGCATGCATGAGAAACCTTTCTCATTTTGCTCATTTTCTCCAACGTCAATGTACTTAGCTCAGGTTTGGGATGTCAGCAGAGCGGGCTCTGCACAGCAGAGGCTTGAAGCCCCCACAATCCAGCCCTGCGTGGGAGGGAGAGAGGGGAGCTGAGTGCCTCTCCAGCAGGAGGGTAACAGGATGCACTGTGGTTGGAACAAAGGTTTGGAGATGGGCAATTAAATAGGCTCTGTGGGGGAAAAGGCCTGTTTCCTAAATGGAATTTCTTGAGCACCCATGGTGTCTGTGGCCAGCCTGGTGTTACAGTCTCTTACTCAGTGAAGAATGCAATTTCTATCTTGTTCCCCTTTAGAAATGGGATGTGTAAAATTCAATCCTTTCCCTTCTCCTGGTATATTTTCCTCTTCCTTTCTAGTGATTCAGTGTTCTCATTCTTGAGAGCTGCATTGCTTGTGGTAGATGGTAGCTGTTGATCTCCGCTTCTAAGAATTGCACCTATTTTCAGAAATACAATAGGCTCGACATTTTGACTCATTTTAGTTTGCAGGAATTTTGTATTTTTGTCCCACTTATTAAAGCAAATTTGGCACTCAAAGGAGAATTATCTAGGTGTGTCCAAAACTGTAACGTATACAATAAATT